CGTAGTTTGCAGAAGTCCGATATTGTTCTTTTTCCAATCCTAGTGTTATTGATGTCATGTAATATTCTAATTTTCTGAGATTGTGAATTTGGGGTTTTCATACGCTGTACGCCATAACCATCACAATTATACCAAAGTAAGGCTTGACATATCTCGCTTTGCATGTAATGCGTCTCATATATTGGTTTCACCTTTTGAGTTGCCTTACTGACATAAATGAACATTTGCACGATATTCTAATTTTTCAAGGTTCATCTGTATCTATGAAAAATAAGCCATGGGGATTTAGATTTATCGATTGCTTTATCTGTCAGTGCTACTCCATCCTTTTAGTAAAGTTTGTAGATAATACAGCATGAATAAAAAGTGTGCAGAGCCAGAATGTATGTATGTGTTGAATAAAGGATTGTTTGGGGTGGTAACTGAATAATTTCGGATCCTGTTAAATGTGTGTCTTCACCACTAGATTGGATTAGGATTTAGATGTATTTTTAAAAAGCAATCAATTTGATGAATGCATTTAGGTTAATAACTGAATTTTAATCCAAAAAACTGAGAGTGACTGTTGATCTGGCCCATAAAGTCAAGCTGGATGATTGCCTAGTAACATCCCAATTTTTTTGCTACTTTAATTGTGGGTTTCTTAGCTTTGGGGGCACATTTTGGAATGTTAGACCTTGTTATGGGTCCTGTCCTTGTGCTTACATTTCATATGGCTATTTGTAAAAGCAGCTAGTGTTGACAGATGAGCCCACAAGGGTTTTTGGTGCATTTAAATGAGGAACAGAGGGGTGGAGATTGATGTGGGAAAACTGTTCTTCCTCTGCTATGAAGCCCTTTGTGAAAGAGCCCCTCTGAATTGCAAGTGGAGTTCCTAGTTCAGTTGCTTGCTGTTGGCTTTAGATTTTAGTCTGTTAGACACTCAGAGTTGTGTCTCGCTTACTAATTGTACCTCTTTTGTTCTAGGTACAATTCCAAAAGGAGACATTGGAGGAGGACCAAGTTGGGCCTGTGAAGAGAAGCAGCTGTAACCCTTGCCATGTCTGTCTTGCAGCAAGCTTTTGAGCCCCAGAACGGCTCCCTTCTTAACAGAGCCCTATTCTTTTCCACAGCCCTATTTTCAGGACTGAATCTCTTCATGTATTACAATTTTTTTTTTCCTCCTTTGAGAAGTTTATTCCCACAAAGAGTTCTAGAGGAATTAAAACTGAATAATTGGTATTTTGTGTTCACATTTGTGTGCTTTAATTCTCAGTGTAGTTACATCGGCTGGATGCTTGCTGCCAGAGGACAGATGTTCATTAATAAACAGGAGACTAGTTAATTTCAAATTCTGTTTGGATTTACTGCTTATACCCACTTATTCCTAAGGGGGAACATTGTCAGTGTATAAAAGACACTAGCTGCCTGAGTCAGTAACTTGAAACAACCAAGCAGGAAGCCACAGTATCAAGTAATTAATGTGAGAATATTACTTTTGTAGTTTGGAAATACATTGTCTCGGCTGAGAAAGGAAAAAAATGCAGAGAAGTGAGGTAGAAACTTTAAAAGACAAAGAATAAAGAACTACAGTAGAAGAAAGAAAAAAAACAGTTGTGTTCACTGTGCATGCAGAATATCTTTGGGGTATTTTATTTTTTCTTTTTAATTATATTCAGTAAATATAATTTTTAAAAAGCCTACAAGCTGTTATGGGAGGTAAAAATTGCTTTTTCAGTGTTAGAAGAAAGAAAATACTTTTTAATTGCAGACTCCTCAACTTCATGCAGGATTAACCAGAGTAAATGATGAAGCTGTTATGAAATAATTTTCTGACTATGCCAGGTACTAACTATATTAAGAAAGCAATAATTTACAAAACACCAGAAGTGTGTATGAGACAGTAGCAGTAATAGAGTTGATGAGCTAAAAAATACTTGGCAGATTTACTAGCTGTAGTGAAGATACCAGAGGGCTGTAAAGTCATGACAGAATGAGATTCAGGTTTATTTAAAAGAAACAAGACTGCATATTTTAACCAGATGTATTTATGGGATAAATGCTTTGTCCCTCCAAGAGACTGTTTATACATATTAAGGCATGGTTTGATTAACCACTATTGTACTGAAGGATTAAATGCTTTCAGGTCTAAAAAAGTATTGCCACTGATCGGGGCAATTTTTAGGGATCCCTTCAAAAACAATTCTCTGCACTATCTGAAACCTCAGTCTCCAAGGTGGTTTTGGAGAAAGGGCAGGATTTCTAAATCTGCCCCGAGGTGGTTCCGTGGAATTAATTTTGCCAAGCTTTGGGCAGAAGCCAAATGTATACAGATGTCTCCTCTTCTGTATGCATTAGGTAAATTGTCTTTACACTGGAAAATAAAATTTGAAATAATTTTTCCTGATTTTATCCAATAGGATGCTCTGCCCATCTTACTGGTATGTCCCATTTAAAAAATACCTCAGACTTTTAAAGCAGCCAGGTTCTACAACATTGCTTTCGCTATTTCCTTTGAGCTTGCATTCAGCCCTGCTTCAAGAATTAGTTTGCTCCACCCTGTAGGTAGAGCTGGGCTGGATCAGATCAAAGGACTATCTAGTTTGGCATGCTGTTTCCACAGATACCTTTGAGAACCCTACAAACAGGAGGAAGGTACAGTAGCAGCCTCCTCCTTGTGTTTCTTGGCAACTGGTACTGAAAAACAGTTCCAATACTAGAGGCAACCGTTGGAAACCTCTCTTAGTCTGTTCCCTTTAAATTGGTAGATCATGGTAGAAATGTGGGACCTGGTTGGGAGCAAGGTGATCCTTCTGGTCTTACTGGATCTTGGGAGCTTGTGATATCATTGACCATAATGTCCAAGAGTGCGGCAGTCCCACTCCTTCCTCAGCGAGCGGTTCCCATCCATAGTGACTAGGAAAGAAGCCAAAGCCCTAACCATTCCTATTTAGCATCTGTTTAAAGCCTCTGAAAAGGGTCATTCATCAGTTTGGGATAAGGTATCACTTGTATGCTGATGCTCAACTGCACATCTCAATCCTGGGCTGAACAAGAGATGGAGTGAATGACCTGAGCTGGTGTATGGAGACTGGGTTGAAACAGGCTCAGCTGAATTCCTGCAAGACAGAGAGGCTGATTGTCCAAATACCAACTGATTGGTTGAAGGTTCCATTTCTGTCTCTACAGGGGAACCCCACTGCCCAGGAAAGATCAGGTCTACCCTCTAGGGATCCCCTTATGCTCAGAGCTTCTGCTAGAACAGCAGGTGGAAACCATGGCCAGAAGAACTTTTGGCTGACCAAACATTATCCTGGAAGCAGCTGTGCTGGGCATAGTCATTCATGTTCCCAACACCTGGCACATCAACTACTGTGATGTGTTCTACTTAGGGCTGCCTTTGAAGACTATTTGGGAATATCAGTTCTTGCAGAACATGCAGCCTGCATGCTGTGATGAAAATTGGTTCAACAGAGATTCACCACTGGCTACCTATAGATTTCCAAGGACAATCTGAAGGGTTTCCCCCACTTGCTTTCAGGAAGCTAAAGAGGGGGCCAGAAAATGTGCGTTTTCTGTTGCTGCCCCAAGCTTATAGAGCCATGCTTCTCAACCCTGGCAACTTTAAGATGTGTGGACTTCATCTCCCAGAATCCCTCTCTGTTGACATTTAAGAGGGAACTTGTTTTATCCCCAGGACTGTTGGTTCTAAACTATGGGAAGATTGCTATATCTTCTCAGCTGGGTTTTAAGTGTAAGCTGCCCACCTACCTTTGTATGACTGAGGTGACATGAAATCAGTGGAAAGAAATAAAATCTTGTGATGGTGAATTCCGAATTTCCTGCCGTGGCAAAAAAGTACTTTGGTCTGCCCTTATGAATCTCCCGTTATTTATCTTCATGGGATTCTAGTTCCATTTTGACCATGCGGGTTTCTTATTTATTTTTGAATTCCTTCTTGGGGCAAAATAATTTCTGCTACAGCAGAGACACTGCAACCCTTACCATTGGCTAGCCTTTGCAAACACCAGATCACACTCTCACTTGTTTTTCTTTTGCCCACATATTTCCTGAAGCTTCATATGCTCCCTTCCGGTTATGAACCTTGTGGTTCCTCAACATGCCAGTGGCAGTGATATCAACAAGCTCTGAGACTGAGTCTGCCTGCCTTTTCCCCATAGCACAGGGGTGAGCAACCTTGGCCCCAAATCCCAATTTTGCTGTCCCCCAAGCTTCTCCCAACCATGCAGTTAAATAGTGCAATTGCTGAAAATCAGCATGTGTTTAGCTGGAAAACAGAATGGTTCTGTTGGTACAACCCACAATGAGTTTATCCAAAGTTTTCTCAATTCACCCAATTTTTTGGAGCTTGCATGAAACACTGATTCAAGCCTGGGCAAATGCAGCCAATAAAACTAACCAATTAAACACTGAAGATGTTACTGAGCCGGGTAATGAAACGTCTGCAAGAAAACAACCGAGTTCAGAGAACCCCAAGGACTCCACAATAAAACTATTCTGTAAATTGTAGCATCAGGTTAATACAGTGTTTAAAAATCCCCACACACCATTACTTCCAAAATACCAAGACAATCCTTGCCTCATTGTTTCATCTGCTGTTCCCTTATTTCTGCTAAAAGATTTAAATATTGCCTGTCCTTGCCCACCAAGAGATTACCCATTCACAGAGGTGTAAAAAAAGGACAATAGGAGTGTTAAAATATCCTTTATTTGAAACAAAGAATATCCCTGAAGCTCTCAGAACTCTATACTGTACCTCTCTTCCCCAATAAAAAAGTGAAGGTAAGGTCTACTTTGAGATGAACTTCATCCCTGGCCTGTGTAGCTTTCTTGGCAACTATAAGGATGTGATTTCCCATTGCTGTGGAGTTTGTTTTTGACCACCCTGGGATCTCCTGGTGGGTCTCCATTACAAGTACTAACAAGATCTGAGCCTATTTAGCTCTAAGGGATCGACCAGCCTGGATGACCTGCTATGACTAACAGAGAGATGTCCTTGTACTGAGTTCAATTTCTGGTGGCTTCATGGAATATCATACAACGGTACAGATCACCATGGCCACATTTTGGTGCTGGGTGGTTTTTTTGACCCCACAATTTACCTTAAAGCCTCAGGAAATCCTACCATCCAAATACTAACCAGGTCTAACCTATCTAGCTTTCAGAGATCAATCAAGATGGCTTTGTGTTTCCACTTCACCAGACGCTCTCCTAAACAGGGGATGCTGTAACTATTTTCATTGGTTGTTCACACAGCCAGGGTTAGCTAAGATTGTCACATTGGGCCCCAGAGTAAAATTTTCCTCACCCCTAGTAGTTTTTCCCCTCCCCTAATAAGGAATGTTCAGTTAAGAAGGCCAGGATTTTAGCATCCCTCTCCCTTTTTTCCATGAGGCTGATGATTTTAATATATTCTGAAGTCATCTATCTAACCCCAAAGGGCGCAACTGTAATTCAGCAAGCAATAGATCTCCAGAACATGTTAGATCTTTCCCACTACTACCTGAACTCTTTCACTGGAGAAACTGCAGACTGAATCTGAAGCTTTCTGTTCTGATTTTCTTTTGATCAGGCAGCAGGAATGACAAACTAAACCAGATGGACAAAAAATATCTATACTGATCAAATAAGGAGACTATCAATCAGTATCATAGCGGCTTGCTGCTGAGATTTTGCAACGATTGCAACACTAACAGGAAGGGCTTGGTCTAATTTAAGTGTACTTCCTTATGTTCCTTAGAAACGTGGGACAGCCAAAGCACCAAAAATAATGCCTTTGCTGAGATTATCAAGTCTGTCTTCTTGTTACCTTCATTTTGTGGAGGGAGGGACCCAAAACTTGTGAAGCCAATTCCAAACATTCAGGATTCTCGTAAAAATAAAGTAAAATGCACGGCTGAACTTAGCTCAACCTCGAATTAAATTGTGGGTAGGACTGACAACATTTGATTTTGAAAACATTGCTTCTGACTCTTCCCCACCCCATCTTGCCAAAAGAACTGGCAGTAGGTCTTATATTGTGCTTCCCTTAGCGTCACAACTCTGATTTTAAAAGCAAGTTTCTTGCCAATAAGGCTAATTGTATTGTTGAGCTGTCAGAAGCAAGCTGATTCAGTTTTTCAGTGGCTGAAGGTGGGGCCTTCAACCCTCAGCCTAGTTCTTGGCTGCTCCTTCAGCCCAGCTTAATCTGAATAAATTATGCTAAATTAGAAAAAAATAGGCACATTTTCCTGCACATGCCTCACAGCACAAAGTGCGGATTTTCTTTTTCCAGATGCGGAACTTCAGTTCCCTTTTAACATCACATATTTGCATCTCTGCATGTAGACTTCCTTTCAGGGAACGTCCCAGGGACACCCCAGTCCCATTTGTGTCTCTTCCCACTTCCTCCCCCATTTTCTTGAACCAGAAAGATTTCTCAACTTTCTGGAGGCCAAAGATTAAGCTTAGGCAGATTTGCTAAAGCCAGTAACTGGGAGACAATCTGAACATTTCACCAACCACCCCAGGGCTTCCTCCTGCTTCTTAACCACTGCTTCTCTAATGGCTGCTATGACAATCCACTCCCAGCCAAAAGTTCAAGCACCATTAACTACCCTGCAGACACCTAAAGCCCTTGAAAGAATGCAACAGTTTGCCTAAAGATATTCCTGAAATAAGACCCCCTGGTATGGGTCCCCTGGCTCTGCCTTGCAGCCCCAGCATTTTGGCATTCCATTCTAAAGACCCCAATCCAACCCCATCTTGAAGGAGCACAGTTGTTGTTGATATTCCCTGCTCCTGGAAAGGCCAAGTCTTCTTCAGTTGCCCCTAAGAGCTCCTTCAACTCTCTGGGAGCATTGGCCTTGAGGTACTGCCAGGCTTTGCGGCCATTGTGATCCCTGAGGTTAATGTTGGCCCCATAGGCTCCTACTAGGATTTTGATGATCATCTCATGGCCCTGCAGAGCAGCCAGGTGCAAAGGGGTCAACCTCCCACTGGCTGTGAGTACATCAACGTTGGTTGGGTAGCCATTCTTCTGTGCAAAAGCCATCACCTGGATCAAATCTTCGTGACGGCCATGTTTGGCCAACCAGTGGAGTACAGTAAAACCAGTCACAAAGTCTCTCCTGGAAAGCAGGCTGGGCTCCTTGGCTAACAAGTTGAGGATGCTTTCAGCATCCCCCTGAGCCACAGTCAACATCCATTCATGCTCCAGGGGGTCCAGCGCTAAGGACAACTCTTCACAATTTACCTCTGAGACACGCTCCTGTTCCTGTTGGGCATCAACAGAGACGGAATCCTTTTGAGGAGCTATAAGCCAGGTAGGGTTGGCCTGACTGCTCTGCCGGAGAAGTTCCTTTAACCCTTTCCTCCTTGTGCTGCCCCAGGACATAGAAAGGCGGGTTGGACTCATCTCGGCCACCCACTTGGCTGAATTCCTTTTCAGCCGATTAAAGCTCCTGTTAGCCAATTGACCTCGGAGAAGAACCAAGCTCTCAGCCTGGTTGATAGGACAAGGAGACTGATTGCCAGCAGCAATTTGCATTTGTTGTCCCTGCCGGTTGCTTGCTTGGCCAGGCAGCTCTTGTCCTTCTTTCAGGTTGCTCTCCTCGTGCTTCTCCATCACGTTCCTCCCTTCAGGGTCCAGCATTTCCTCAAAGTTCCCAGTAGTTTCCCCACATCCCTCCTGAAGTCTCTGTCATTGTTATGTGCAGCTGCCTCCTGAAATCATCGCTTTTCTGCTCAGAAGAGGAAGCAACTGAAGTCTTCTTGCTTCTCAGTGCTGCCTGCATAGAAAGGGGGAACCAACATGGAGCTTTCAGAGCTTAAGAGGAACTGATCCCTCATTGGGAAAGAGACCACGGATAACAACAGTCTGTCAGAAGGTTTCACTATAGAACTGCAGTTGTTTTGTTCATCTGCAGTTCTCCAAAGTTTTTGACAAACTCAGAGAACCCCATTTTGACAAACGCTCTTGCCTTCCCTTTCCTGCCACAAAGAGTGCTTCCAACTGAAGCTTTCGCTAAAATTTCTTCTGATACAAGCAAGGAATCTGAGGCAAGAACCAAACGTCACCTTCTATTTGCAACCTTCCCTCTTTTCCTGACATATAAATCCATTTTCAAAGAAAACATAGAAGAACCGCCATTTGAAAGGTAACTCCAGGGAACCTGCATCTGAAAATGTTCCACATCGGTAATATTTTGCTGAAAAACACAGGGTCTGGATATACCTGCTTAACCAAATTAGTTAAAAACTGAAAGCTGTAGCAGTTCCATTACACTAACTATACTGCTAACCATTGTTAGTTTTAATGTTGGTTAGGCTTTGGCGTGTGCGTGTGCAGCTTAGCATGTAATGCAAATGCAGATCATTTGGCTAAGTTTATTACTCCCTGTATTGTCTGAATCCAGAAAATGAATTAATTCAGGGGCCAGGTTAAATACATTTGTGAGAATTCTGCCACTGGCTTGGGAGTCAGCGCCGTTCTTTTAATTTGAATCTATCACTCTTCTTTTTCTTTTCTCCGACAAGATTCCTTTGGGGAGTGTGGGGAAAACCTAGCCTAGGAAAATGGAAAACCAGGAGAATCCATGGGAGGTGTTTAAAAAAGGCAGGATGATGGTCACAACCATGCAGTGAAAGCCCTGCCCCTAATTTACATGCATTGCAATGAAAGTAAACTGGGAGAGGGCTTCAGCTGCAGCCCCATCTTGACGTTTTTGACCTTCCTGCCTTTTTCGTTGTTGTTGCAAGACAGCTGCCCAGTTCAAACTGGGCAGCCATAGAAATGCTCCCAATAAACAAGCAATGGAACCCTTTCTGAAGTTCTAAGGGATCAGCAGCCAAGCAGGCAACGCGGTTTTTGCACTTCTGTTCACACGTGACCAGCGTTTTAGTCCAGGGGTGGGTTTTTTGCACCTCTTCCTTGCTCACTCGATGCACAGGTTGTGGGTGCGGAGAGAAGGCATCTGAAAACCTCCGTATCCTAACTCGAATTTGTCTGCAAGGCAGAGGTGGTTTGGGACCCTTAAAAACCTTTCCTCCGCCTTACAGAAGGGACCCCCTTCTGCTCAGCGCAAGGCGGAGAGGCTGCACGCGACCAGCCTCAGCTGTCCAGGCGAGCTCCTGAGACTGTCCCTGTCAGTGCCAGCACAGCCCTGCGAGGTAGGCTGTTCTCCATGAAAGCCGGATGGCCAGGAAGCAGGAAGTTGTCCCAGCTGGCTTGCTCAATTCCTAGTCGAGCGCGACCGACTTGTACCCAGCTCCTCATCTTCATAAGCCACAATGCCAAACCACCATCAGTTGGGGTGACATGTCCAAAGAGGAAGGGGCGACCTGTCTGGGATGAAACCTTCCGAACCCACCTCTGCCTGATCCAAATTGCAATTAGTTCTGCCCAAAAGCTTCCCCCCTGCTGGGTGTTAACACCCCCCCCCCCTTTCCTTCGGAGTTCCTGGATCATAAATCAGGACCGCAAACGGAAAGCGGAAGGGGCCCCGCGCGCTCCTGGCGATCGCTGACGCTTTACCTTTCTCCAGGCAACAGCCTGGCGGCCAGGGAGGGCGGCTGTCACTCCGGCCCGGCGCTCCCCCTCGTTTCCTCCCGTCTGGAGCCAACGCCAGCCGCACCACCTTGCAAACGGCAATCCCACTCGAGCTAATCCGAAGCGACTCCCCGAGGTCCCTCCTTCCCGTGTGGACCCGGCTTGCTTCCGCGTCTTGACCCAGCCTCCGCCAGTCCTGCTTGTGCAAAGTTTGTTCTCGCCCTGCTTCGGAGCGGAGCCAAGGAAGGGAAGAAAAGAAGGAAAGCAACCGCCGCAGCGCGCGACCTTTGCTCTCCTCGAGGCGCTTAAGCCGCCGCCTGGCGTGAGGTTGAGCGAACGTCCTCTTGGGAGCCCAGGGATCCCACCCACCCCTCTCCTCCGCGTCCCTGTGTGCGAGAAGAAAAGCCACCCCGTCGCCAGGCCCTGTGAAAGGCTGGGGGGTGGGCTCAGGTTGGGGGACGTGACCGAGCCCCCCTGGCCCGCGTTCACACGGCACGGCACTGTAAACGCCGCTTGGGGAGCCCCAGGAGGCTGCGTTCACAGCAGGTGAGAAGGCTCGTACCCGCAAGCCACGAGAGGGCGGGGTCCTGGCAACACCCTCGATTTTGATTTGCTTAATCGTGGGAAATCAAGTGGAGTTCAAAACTGTAAGGGAGGGGGGACATCAAGGCGGGTTTCGCAGCATATGCAAAACACAAGCAAACCAAGATTGGCTTGGTGCATTCAGGGGCTGCGGTCATACCGGCCAGAAGCTCTAAGAATTGCTCCTGGACTCCATCTCTCGACAAGGTGGGGAAACAGCTGTCCTTGACAAAATAAAAGGCGCTGATGGCTAAAAAGAGATTCTCTACTTGAGGGGGACTCCTGGTGACTCCATCCAAGCAGGTTTTTTGGCAATGCTATGGAAATACTATTTTAATAATATGCTTTCTTTCTGTAATGCGTTTTCATCTTTCCAAGCTGGCCTACAATTGTGGCATTTCTTAGTAGTCTCCCATCCAAGCAGTACCCAGATAGAGTCCTGCTTGGCTTCTGGGATCCGCCAAGGTCAGCTAGATGCTGCTCCCTTGAAGCCTGAAGAGCTCTCTGGTCTAGTAGTAAAATAGTACTGATAGTTATTAATAACTATGTTCCAAACTTCATATACAGTAACTGTTATTCTCCTGTGAAGACCTTATGCCTGTATTGTGGGTTGGAGAGCTGAGACTCCAAGACAGCAGCTTAACTAAGGTCACTTAGAGAATTTCCAACAGGATGAGGTTGATGCTCCTCGATGGGTATGTTGGTCTTTGGGCTGTTGGATAACAAAAACAATTGGTCGGAAAGACCCTTGAAGTTTGCTTCCCCTACCCCTCAACCAACCAGCTCCTTGCAGGATTGAACTCACCGATGAAAGAATGAAGAATGTCTTAGAGGCCACTTCTTAAAAACTTCAGCTGACAAATTCTGGTCCTTTGAGCATGCATCAGCTAATTTATCAGGAAGACAATCAGTACCTTCCTGATGTCAAAGTGAGTTCATCCTCACGTGAAACCTTGGAAATTGTCTGAACTTGGAACTTGGATTCCAAGGCGAGAACATAAGAACTAGAAAAATAGGACACAGACCTTGAGCAAGTCTAGAGCAAAGGTCTTTTGACCACTTGCTGGAGCAGCCGGATGTCCCTAAACAGCTGATGCTGATCAGTGTTGTGTGGGAAATGTGGGAAACGGCAGCTGGGCTGACATTTTACTCTGGTTTGTCTTCATGGGACTTTGCTAAATCAAGTCACAGTGCTGAGTTCAAACATACTACTGGAGGAAAAAAGAAATGCATAGATGATCACGTTGGCTAGCTGTTATATATTATCACTGCCATAAAGGGCAAGATATAATTCTACCAATTGATGGGTAGCCTGGGCTTCTGCATCACAATGTTGTTTGGAGCTTCTTGGAGGTACCTTGGTGGCGGTGAGAAAAGGATGTTGGAACAGAGGGAATCCATCCATCCATCCATCCATCCATCCATCCATCCATCCATCCATCCATCCCCCCATCTCCAAGATGTCACCCCCTTTGTACAATCTAAAGCCCCCAAAGATGCTGTTGTTAAGGTGATTATGATGATGGAAATAACATCATTATGGTCCTGAGGATGGCAGGAATTATGCATTCATGTGGCATCTTGGTTTCCTGCTGCTGAGTCTTCTCATGCACCAGTTCACATAATCAAAGGGAGCGCCTGTTTTTTTTTTTTCTTCTGTCAATTTCATGTGTGGTTCCCAAAGATACATTTCCTGATAATTACAAGGAACAGAGTCATTTCCTCTGAAATTTATAATTAGTTAATCATTAGCCACAGCTTCTGGGCTGCGAGAAGCTTAACTCTCAAGGCTAAAAATACTAGCGGGGGGAGAAAAATAAAAACAATTAGCACTCACTTTCCACAATGCTCTTATGTAGAGAACATGCTCATTCATGATTTTTTAAATCCCTGGTTGGTAGAATAAGGCACATTTGACTGGACTCACACACCACACTAAGCCATAAGCCACAATGACAAGGCTCACCAATTTCACAGTGGCAAAGCAGTGCCTGAGAGGTGAACAAAACGGCATGTGTGCACAATAAAAGTAAAGCTGTTGCTGCTGAATTCACCATTTTTGCTAGATTCCATCCACAGTGCTCTCTAGCGGCTGAGCCAATACACAAAAGAAATGAGAACTCTATCATGAAGAGGCATGAAAGACATTTCATGAATACCCCGAAGGACCAGGAACAGGGACAGCCCCTTCTCTCCTGTTCGCATCCTCATCTCACAGACTGGTGGGGAATGATTGCTTCCACATCTCCAGGAACAGCTGAGGAACCTCCTTTGGAGATCTCCTATCACCATCTGAAGAGAAGCAAGTCACCAAGAGGGAAAAGACCATCTCAATTCCAGGCACCAGCTCAGCCAGTACTTTGGGTCTGCACACGCTAAGCCAAAACATACGATTAACAGTCATGCATGTTCTCCTAGCCTACCCACCCGCAACCCGTCTTGTGCCCAGCTCTTTAATGGGGCAGAGGCTTGATGGTCCTCTGAACTGGAAGTGCATAAACCCCTTTTAAATGAATACTTGAGGATACTTCTCAAATGCAGGGTTTACATAAAGCCAAAGTTCAAACCTTTTTGGCTCAGTCTCTTACGTGAGCACCAGCCTCTCCGTGCAGATGATGACAGGCGTAAACATGTGGAAAGATGCTGGAAAACTCATTGTGGTTCTGCAGTTTGATAGCCTAGCTCAGAATTAACATCCTATCAAAAATAGCCGCGGTGTTGCTCCTCACAAATGAGAAACCCAAAGGAAAGAATAAAGGATTTGCTTTCCCCAAAACAAACACCAAACAACTTCCCTTCTCACACATGCTATTCACTCGGTTTCTCTTTCACACAAACACACAGGCTGAGCTCCCATGAATGATGGCTTGGTCAGTTTGGGCTAATCCTACTGTAGGAATCTCAGCTTCACCTGATGTATGAATCAGGTTAATGATCATGGATTCAGCAAGCCATGTTGAACATGGCTTGGCGTCATGTGGGAATCCAGCGATAAGGACAGCCACCAGCTTTAAGTGATGAAAAGAGAAAGGCAGGAGAAAGCGGGCAGTGGCTGCTGGTCCTGGCAAGTATTTACGATCTCCGAGAGTAGGAGCAGAAAACTGGGTCGGCTGCGCCTTCTTTGATCCCAGCAGAGGATCAAAACCCACTTCGTTGCCCCCTGGCTGCCACATGAACATTCAGGCTGTTTGGGAGAATTCAAAGCTTTCTCCCCAGCTGGCCAGCATGTTGGTGACCAAACGAGACCGGGACAGCTTATCTCGTGGAACCTAACTGATGGGGAAAGCTAAAGAGGGCTACAGCTGATCAGTACCTGGATGGGAGACCACTAGAAGATCCCAGGGCTGTGGGGTTAGCCTGGGACAGGGCCAAAAGTGCCCCAGAAATCCCTTCCACACGGTGGTGAGGCAGACCCCAGGGAGCGCTAGGGCTTCTCCTTGTGCCGCCCGAACCCAATCTGTATGATTCGGTTACGGACCGGCGACTTATGTTGCGTCCCCAGGAACCCACAAATCCTGGCTTGGGGCGCCGAAGCGCGTGTTAATGGCCCTCGGTGGGGCAGCTGAGCTCAGGACGCGGGAAACGGCGGGGCGGCCCCCCGCGGCGCCCTTCGGCCACGTCGCTGGCCCGATCGCCCGCAGTTCAGTGGCGGCCGTCCCGGAGGCGCGGGCGACGCCTAGGATGCAGCTGCGCCCCGGAGGAGGAAGGAAGCCGGCTTGGCCCGGAGCAGGGTCGCTGCGGGACCACCTCG